ACGTAGCCTATGAGTTGGTAGTTTGCTAACCCCTGACATAAGAGATCCAATAGTCAGGGAGAAACAAATCTGAAGCACAAGAGGAAGGTCATGGATAAGGACAAATATTTGGAAGTCACTGTCACAAATAAAATGACAGAATGGATAACCTAAGAAGAGCAGAAATGGAAAATATGAATATTTAAAGACAGAAACTTTATGAAGAACAGCACTTTCTGAAAAGCATGAGGAGGAGGTAAATTATTAGTGGTTTCCTGAAAGTAGAAAAAGCATGTGAAATGAAAACTCATGATTCCCTTAAATGTCATTCTGGCTCAATTAACAAATCCCTTATGCTTGAGGAAGTGCAGGACACTGCAATTATTTAACCATGGTCATTATCTGGAAGCAGAGCCAGAACACAGAAAAAGGCCCCAAATGTGTATGTAATACACTTAAGGCCATGACATGAGACAACACAAAGCAGGGTCAAGTTGGAGCAAAATCTTGCACCTCACATTATTTTATAGAGTATCCTATATAAAAACAAACTCCACAGACATTTCACAGAAACTATTTACACAAAATTGAGTCAAAGGTTGAAAACAAAAATAAAGCAAAAAATTAATACCCTTAAAAACAAAACCAAATGCCAAGGGAAATGGTTTTGACAATATATAGATGTGTTTGGGAAATGCTCTCATTTCAAAAATTATGAAGTTAAGTTCATTACACTGCTTAAAAATAAAACAGGGTCCAATATCAATGTATTTGATTCAAGCTTTTTCAATGTTACAGGCCTAAAATATAATAGGTCTTATTGCTTGTCTTTGGGAAAACATACAATCTAGCAAAGAAACTATTTATGACTTATATTTATAACAATGTTGGCTCATGAGAAGTAAAGCAATTAAAAACCAATTAAAAAAATATCACAAGGCCCCAAACTGCAAAACTTGCAAAGGAGCACTACAGAACAGTTATAGAACTGATGATGATTCATGTATGTGGATTAGAATAGTCTGGATGGGGAAGGGGTAGAGAGTAAGTGTCACTGCTAAAGAACAGAAAACTATTTCCTCTACCCAAACCCAAAAAACTCCAGTATACAAAGGTAAGACTACAATTTACACAGGGGACTTATATAAAGGCAAAAATGACCAGGAAAGCAGGCAGGCAGTCCTCCAACAGAGCACACATTCATACAATGGATCACTAGACCATGAACAAAAATAATGTTCTATGTGCGCAATGACAGGTAAAAATGTCCAAAATTACTAAATGAGAAAACGCCAGCAAAATGATTTGTGTCCAAAGTTACACACACATGCCCACACATGTATCTGGTGTGTGCACAGAAAATCCAGACATTTACAGTAGATGTGAGTGGTACCTTGAAAAAGAAGAGTGGGACTGAATGAGAGGAAATTTTTACCTTCTACCTTTCTGTAGTGAAAATAAAATAAGCATGCATTATGTTTGGTCAAACATTAAAGGAAAAAACATTATCAGTATTTTGGGAGGGTAGCTGTAGGACTGCTCTCTATAAAACCACACCAATGTAGACATCTAAAATGCTTCACCATACTCAGTATGTTAAATGAAAGTTGTAATTTTTAAAAAGTACAATCAACATAACCAGAAAAGAACTACCAAATTTCTCTTGGACAATCTTACAGACTTCAGTAATAAAGTAAAAATTACATCTTTCAAAAGCTGTAATTCGCATGTGAGGGTTTAGCCAGTCTTCCTATATAGTGTGATCTGTTCATTCAATGTTAAACAGCCTTATTTTATATGTACCTTCAGATTAATTCCTAGTAATAGAGATGCAAGGAATTCTATTTCAATAACAGAAACTGCAGAACTTTATAGATTTATTTTTAAGACATGTCTGCTTTTAAAAGTTTACAGCAGGGGCTTTTTATTCTATTCATTCTATTTTCTGCTGTATGCCCATTACCGAGAACATAATAAATATAAGTATTCAATACATATTTTTGGGGGGGTATGAAAGGTAGGAACAGAACCTCTGTGAAAAACTATGAGGCATTACAAGTTCTGAATTAAAAGAAAACGGGACAAGATTAAAATGTGAAAATTGGGGGCACCTGGGTGGCTCAGTCGTTAAGCATCTGCCTCTGGCTCAGGTCATGATCCCGGGGTCCTGGGATCAAGCCCCACATTGGGCTCCCTGCTCAGCGGGAAGCCTGCTTCTCCCTCTCCCTCTCCCACTCCCCCTGCTTGTGTTCCTCTCTCACCCTGTCAAATAAATAAATAAAATTTAAAAAATAAAGTGAAAATTTGTTCCTCTGAATTAAAAAAAAAACCATAGTACCACATGTGACCGCATGACTGCAATTTCATTTCTGGCTTCTAGCAGTGGAATAGAAACAGCAACATTAAAATCTAAACTACTCAAAGTACTAGGAAGGCTGCCTCATGTCTACTTTGGAATTCATAGTAAGCAGGATACCACACAGTATTAAAGATGTTACAGTTCAGGACTGAAATTTTGACACCAAGTCCAGTAGTTGTGAGGAGATGAGGCACAGAGAAATAACAAACCTAGTTGTTTCAGCAAAGAGCAGGCAAATGAGCTGGTCTTGGCTCCTGAGGAAAACTACCTAAGAGTAGTGTTTCTCAAATTATATGTGAAGGACCAGTTTTAACCCTTAAATTGCACTCTGTCAAAAACATACTTTTGTAAAATATATTTTCAAAAATTACTAGAAAAATTACTGATCATATATTTTAATGTGACAGTAATATCAAACTGCTATAGAATGTAGACATTCTCAATTTCTAAACTGGTCCAGAGAGAACAATGACCTAGCATTTTGTTTTCTAATGTCAATCCGACCTAAAATCTTGCATTCATCTAGAGTCTGACTCTGAGTGAGAAAATTTAGTTGTTCCCCCCCACCTCCACTAAATAATGAAGACAACCCCTAACAATTAGAGATAAAAAGTAGCATAGAGACTTGTCATTAACGTTTTAATTTTAAAATGTAAAACACTGCATCATACTACCTTAGAAAATTAAAATTATCCTTTTAAATGCAAGCTACAGCATTTAAGAAGGTTGACTCCTATCAACTTGAAAATTTTGCTTTATTTTACCATTTATTTTAGAAGATAACAGGATATAGACACTTAAGGTTATATATGAAAATATCTGCTTAACTTATATTAACTATGTAACTCATGTATCTATAAACTCCTGTTATCTTTGTTTCCATGTTCTCAAAACTCCCCCAAATGATTAATTTAGTTGATTGCTAACAGGGTGAGCCTCGGGGGCCTATTTTAAGTTCCATTACCAAAGGAAGTAAAATGAAAGTAAAATGCCTGGCCTATACAATGACTACAATCTGATGTGATTCACTATAGCCTGTAAGATAGGCTCTACACTACTGAGAGAGTATAATGTAATTATAGGGTCTCTGGAACCAAATGAATTTTGCAACTTACAAGCTGTAAAGTAACTTACATCCTCACTGCTTCTGTTTCATCTATAAAATGGGAATAACAGCACCTACATCAAAGGATAATTGTGCAAGTTAAAGTGCATGTAAAGTGCTTGGAACACTGCCTGCCACATAGTAAGTACTATATAAGTATTGTAATTATTTCTTACACAGTATGTCTCAAATCCTTCTCTAGAACTGGATTAACAATTAAATTGGTTAAATATGTCACATCCCTACAATTAATTACAATTCTTCTATTAAAAGATTTCATTTCTCTATTATGAAAATATATTTATTTATCATCTCCTATTGGACAGGGAGAAAAAAGTAAGATAGAAAATCATGTACAGTCTAATCTTATATTTAGAAAAGATGCTAATGAAGTTATGAAAAGTTGCAAGTCATTGTAATACTTATGTAGCATCTGCCAAGAGTGACTCAGTAATTTATCATTCTCCCCACCCACTGGGAAAAGACTTAAAATAAAACTGATTATGATTCTAAAATAGTAATAATAAGGATAATCAAATGCATATTATAAATCAGGTTTTTTAAAAAATTTAGAAATTGTACACTTAATTATTCCTCCCTCCACTCCTGAAAGCCGATGCTTCTTAAAATGGACTACATCTCAGAATTAAGGAAATAGAGCACTGAGTTCTAATAGATATACTACTCCAATCCCACCCATTGCCAACACACCACCATCACCACCATCACTTAGAAGCAGCTCTTGTAGTGCTCACAACTACACATAAACAGACAATAAATCACCTTATCCAATCACCCAAGCTTAAAAAGCAGGTATCAGATACAGTCTATTGAGATTATAAACACAAAAGATTCAGTATTTCTAGAATACTGAACGAGAGGTGTTTGTGGTATTGAGAGTACTCAGATGGTAGCCTGTGGCACCCTTTAAACGGTTTTAAAATTCTTCAATGAAATCAATACTATTAATTTCATGTTTACTTTATATAGGATTTTTGTCAAACTTATCAGTTTTTAAATTAATTCATAATCATCATTTAAAGACAAATTTTCCTCTTATCTAATGATTTTCATTCTATCTGTAAGTCCAGCTTACCCTTTTGTCTATAATAACCAATTTCATTTTCTCTCATCTGAAACACACAATTATTATATACAAAGTTTTTCACATGTGCTTTCAAATACCTACAAAGAGTAGATCAAGTTTTCTAATTTACATAAAACCATACTATACCAATTTACCAATATAAATGTCTTCATACCTATTTATTCCATTCTATTTAGACAGTAACACTAACAAAATTCCTAATGAATATGCCCCCACCACCTGAACTCTTTCCCTATGCTATCATGTTGACACTTAGAAAAGAACATCTCAATGCAGCAACGAAGTTTTACAACTACCATTCCTACCAATCAAATGGTAACGCACCAAGATAACAACTCTCTGGAGTTCTACCACATTAAGAGTACATTATTTACCTAAGACCGAAGGACTGTGCCTTCCTGTATAAAAAACAAAGATAGCCACATCAATTTAATTCCATATATATGGTGCTACCTATTCAATTTATTAAAATTTGTAATAAACATAATAATCAAACTAGTGCTCCAAACTTATGCTGTTCACGTGGAAGACACTACAAGAAGACACAATAGAGACTGCCTGGCAATAAGAGGTACAAATTCCTTCTATAGAGATGGAGAAATAAAAGGACAAATCTAGTTGTCTAAAAGACAATTCACTGTACACATTTTATTTACAGTTTTGTACACTGTCTTAATATGAATGGGACCGCTTTTCTACTTGAGCCATTTTTTAACCAAAGCAAAATAACCTAAGTAATACAAAGTGTTAAAATACAGCATAAAGATACAAAAACAGACATACTAATTCTAATTAGGAATGTAATTATGATGTTACATTTTTTATAATCCACAATTATGTTTAGGAAATCACACAAACATAGATCACTGATTTGAATGAAATGCATAAATTTGTAGCAAAGCTTTGTAGTTACAAAAAACCAAAAATATTACCAAAGAATGCACAAAATTAATGTTTATTCCACCTTTGTGTCATATTCCTGGATCCTTCACCAATGTTACATGAGGAAAAAAACAAAAGCAAAACAAATGAAAAACTGAAATCAGAATCACTAATGTTATCAAGTAGGGAAACAAATAAATTAAAATCTAGCAGCCATCAGCAAGAGTACAGCAAAGACAATGCTGTAAAAGGAAACAAAGAAAATTGCTAGAAAACTGTATGCTTCATACTCTTTCAAACCAGCAAAATATGCTCCTGCATACAATGGAACATAAACAGAATTTTTTTCCTGTAAGGTATAGAAATGCAAGTTCTTTTTTGAATATTGTGGATGGGTAAGATGTGTTTGTAATGGTAATTCTACTAAGCTATTACAGAGTGGGCCAGGAACACATTTATGGATTCTGGGGATGATGTGTACTGTAATTCTCTGATTGGGATAGTGGACACTCTAGCCAAAATTAAAAAAAAAAAAAAAAAAACATGAACACAGAAGTACAAGACAAAGGCGAATGAGACTTCTCTTATATCTTAGCAACATTTAGATGGAAATCAAATTTAAATGCAGTCCACTCTGCTTTTGAAGAGGCTTTGGTTCAGCTCCCAAATCTCGATTGCTTGACGCAGTCTCCTATGAGAATACTCAGAAGGTGTCTTCTTAAACAACAAACCTATTTTTAGTGGTGGAGCCGCTCTTAGTAGCTGTGTCTGCATGGGACTGATAACCAATCACTATCTTTGGAGGAAGTCCTAACCTTTCCTTGTATACCCTCCTAGAAGAAGAAAAAGAAAAACAGTAGCCATTAATTTTTATTCACACACACCAAATTTGATATTACTGTTCTTTACATTAAAAAGTCCAGAGAGTGAAATAGGAAATTGTACATCCTTTTCCTTTTAGCAAAATTTACTCTTCATTTTTCACAACAATCTCAGTTAATCACTAAACCAATATTTAGACTCTACTATGTTATCAGGTACTGAGTAATTACTAATAAATCAATAATAAGCAAAGCATGGACGGTCCCTGGGTGTTTACAGTATTTGATTATTTATAAACAATCACAAATACATATACTGGAGCTGTATCACATGTATAACTCATTTATACAAAATAAACTGTCTACATGTCTACTTTAATTTTCTGATATAAAATGCTAAATTATATTTTACATATAAACCATAATAAATATTATCACTGCAAATTACATTTACTGTAATTATTACTTTATGATATTTTCAGAGTAATTTAGAACATACATGATTTCTGCTTTATATACTAACTCTGCAACCTAATTTTCAAATAACATTTGACTCTATTTTAAGAACAAACTATGATGAGTGCCCAAGTGGGTAAGTATAGGGGCTGTGATGTTGTGTAACAAGGATGATCTAATCTTGTCTGTGAAATCAGAGAAATCTCCCCTTTAAAAGTCATGAGGTTAAAAGTAAGATGCTGAGAGAAAGAAGCACATCTGAAAGCTGGGGAACAATATAAGGCTGTGTGGCTACAGCTCATAAGGAAAAGGAGTATGAGCAAAAAGGATGACAAAGTAAAATTGGGGACAGATCATAGCATCACAGGTAAAGTAGGAATCCAGACATTTATTCTCAAGAAAAAATAGCAACACTTCAAAAATAAACACCAAAATAAAGAGATATACATTTATACATACTGGAGCTAAATTCTTCAATATGATACCAGGACAGTTTTATCCATAGTCCACCTTCCAGAAGATTCTACTACCTTCCTTCAAATAGTTTCTAAAAATAATTTTATAACTAAAATAACTATTATCAGATTTATATTATGATACCATGTATTCCCTTCCATTATACTTAACCATTAAAAATGCCAGAAAGCCAGAGGACTGAGCCATGTAACTTGGAAGGGTTAAAAAAAAGAAAGAAACCCTCCCTTGAAAAACTAAAGTCAAATATTTCACAAAGATTTCATTAATTTTTAATACTGACACAAATACAAGATTTTCAGAGGAAAGAAATTCACACTTACTTTTAAACTGTTTTCAAATATGAAATCCCCACAACTAATAAGTTTTGATGCTGACAGAAAGATTAGAATACGACCACAAATCAACAGTCAACTTCTCTTTTAGAGAAAACCTCTGTAGCATGAAACCTGGAGAATTTCCAAACCTTTTGGTCCAAAAAGGACTAAAGGAGAATTCATAATGTTTGAAAAAAAATCACAAAGGGCAAACCAAACATTTTGTGACCGATGAGCAATACTTAATTTTAACACAAAATTTAAAGTCAAATTTTACTAATTTAAATGTAATAAAAAGAAGATCCCAGGTAACAATGACCAATGTATGGGGTGGGGAGGGGGGTGGGAATGATAGGCAATTTTTGCAAGGAATAATATTCACACACATAAAAATTTAAAAACATACACATGTGGGTTTTAAAAATACGGACAGAACTAAGACATGTCACTGAAAATTTTATGTACAGTGTACCCACATGTGCACAGAATACATATATACTACTTGCCAACACTCACTGAATTACTAAGAGTATTATAATATTAATGTTATGATTTTAAAGTAGAAAAAAGAAAATATTGTCATATGATAAATGAATAAAATGTTACATGCCAAAATAGAGTGCTCTGGTGATTGATTATATACTCCATTGTGAGGGAAAAGAAATTTTACAGAAATTAAAAAAAAAAAATGAAAACGAACAGAACAGTTAAGGATTATAAGTTTTCATGAAAACATTACAAGGAAAATAATAATCTACAAATCTAAGTATTTTTAAAGCTATAAATAACAGTACTTCTGCTTTTAGTTATCTTAATATTTTATTTTATCTTAATATTTTAAAGGAAGTATACGAACAGCAAAACTTACCCTATATGTGTAACAGCCTCTCTGTTTTCACATTCAGTAGTCCATATTGCTATCTTATCACCTTTAGTTCTAACATTAACAACAGCTCCACATACATCATCACTGTAGTCATCAAAAGATTCTCCAATAAGGCACAGCAGCTTTAAAAAAAAAATTCAATCCCAAATTACATGAAATAAATTATACACTGCTTATTGAACTACAAATGTCTCTTTTGTATATATACAAAACTGAAACAGCTTTTAAATCAAAAGTTGACTTTCTGAATGTCTAATTTATATTTATGTATATAGCTCTTTGTCTTGACTTTTTAAAAATTCATTTGTTTCTTTGTTTAATATCAAGAACATCAACAGTTGTTCTAGCCTTTTTAGCAAATGAAGAATTGATGTCAGGGCAAACATAAAAGGCAAATCATCTTAATATTCATCTGTTCTGCTGCTGCTTCTACTTGCCAGCAGACAAATTTAATGGAATAACTGAATAGTTGCTCATGCTGCCTCTTGTTCTTGCTGTTTTTCATGAACACAAATTTTTTTTATTGTGGCAAATATACATAAATTTTACCCATTTTGACCATTAAAAAAATTTTGAGTATAGACAACACATGCCATTAAATCACTTTAACCATTTTTAAGGGTATGGTTCAGTGGCATTAAGTATATTGACAACATTGTATAACTATCACAACCATCCATCTCCAGAACTTTTGTCATCTTACAAAACTGAAATGACTTTTTAAAGTGGAATTCTAAAATGTATTTACTGATAATCTCCCCCAAAGCAAAATTAAGTCCCTTCATTTAAAAAAGAAAAAAAAACCCAAACAACATTCATTCAAATACTAACTGCTTAACTTAGTAAGTGCTAACTATAAATGAGACACTGTGACAAGTGCTAAGAATCCAAAAAAGACTATTATCCCTACTTCTGATAGCTTGGGGTTTAGAACTTCTCCCTAGAGAAAATGACAGTTACCTCATATTTAATATATGTTTTATAAAGCCAAAAGTTCCAAAAGTTCCAGGTTATATCACAATATATATCACAATATATAAGGTTAATAATATCAAGCTACAATTTCATTGTTTGCTTCACTGATCTAAAAAATTTAGTATACAAAGTAATACACTAAGAGGGCTGTAAAAACTTACATCATACAAAACGCGAGGTTCTGTAATTTTGAAGTTAATGAAATGACCAGGATGAGCTCTCTCATGGAAGATGAGAGTCAACTACCAATCACTTTTTATCTGATTTGTACTATGGTATGGGGTTTCACTGTACCAGTATCTAAAATATGGGGTATTCACATGACAGAACAAAATTGCTGGCTTAGATTTTGTAAGGTGGGCATCCTTATCTCTTGAATTAAGTAACCGATGTAAAATGTAATCCAAATTAAGTTTTAGTATTCCAAAACTGCTTTGTAATTTTAAAACCTTACTGTCTCTAGCCAAAAGCGGTCCAGGTCACTTCGTCTCTGCTGCTTGTTCAATGTAATTAGCCATCGTCCTCCTCGTTTGTTTTTCTCATCTTCCCACATAGGCTCAATACCATCCTACAAGGTTAGTAGGTAATAATATTAGACAAAATTGTTACTTTAATTGAGGAGATCACTAGAAAGAGGAAGCAACAACTCTATCAACTTCTTATTTTATTCTCCATAAAGCTGTTATTGATGTAGTGGGGAAAAAAGCAGGCAGGACTTAAAGCCAGAGGCATGGGACTGCAGAATTAGAGTCCTGACAGATATTTATTAGCTATCAAACCCTTGGGTTTCAATTTGAGGTTCTTAAACACTGAGAAACGGATACCCTTGAAAAGCTACATACATTTTGATATCTAGAAAATATATGCAAAAATTATGCAATTTCAGAGTTAATGAATGCCCCACCCCCTACCACTTGACAATAAATAAACATAAATATCCCAAAGACCAATGCATCCCAAGTTAAGAATTCCTGACAAACTCTAGACTTCAGTCTACTCAAATGTATGAGAGAGATTGGACTGGATGATCAAAGCTCTCTTCAAAAATCAATCACAGTGTGTGCCCATAGAGTAAGAGCTCTCATTCTCAATTATTTATAGCAATAGGGTAAAATTTGTTTATGCTAAAGCCCAGTAAAACTAATTTAATTATTCTCCAAACCTCAGAGCATTAACTATTCTTAAGTTTCTGACAAGATTTCTTAATAAGTAACTCAACGGTCCAGTCTTATAATAAATATATGAAATCACCAGTTAAGCATACCTTAAAAAGTGAGTAGTCACAGCCTGGCATTAAATTACTAGACAACTGGATGTGGTTGTACAGACTAGGTAAAAGAAAAGGACAATTATAAACATAGAATATATAATGCAGAGTTTAGGTACTTAACATATATATTTAAAGAACATGATAAAAATAAAAAGATAAAAGTTCATGTTTACTTGTTTGTCTACTGAGTCAATTTCTGTAATGGACCAAACAGGTATCTTAATAATGGTCAGTTCAAGAATCAGCATTTGATGATTTTCAAGAAAGTATTTTTAATGATTTTATTCTGACAAAAGTATATTTTGATATATTAGTTAACTCAGTGCATACATTTATATATATATATATATATATATATATATATATAAAAGAAACTCATAATAGGAGGTATGAGGCGGCTTTAAGTGCATGAAAGAATTCATGAGGCTAATGAGCAGTTTTAAACACACAAAAAAACAAATCAAGGGAAAGTCAGGACTGCATGACTAAAAGACAACACTAATATCCTTGAAGGCATCCTAGAACAGACCAATGGGTCTCAAATACTGCAGTCATTACTAGTCAGTCAGCATAGCAATCATTTGGAAAGCTTTGGAAAAAACAAGTGAGCAAGCAAACAAAAAACACCCCAGGCCCTACTCCTTGTGATTTTAATCCCTTTATACATAGTGTGGAACCCTGGAATCTGTATTTCTAAACTTTCCCCAAATTAACAGAATAACACTTGGGATGACTTAGATATTCACCAGCCTGAAGGTAGAAGGCTAAATCATTTGATCTCCTGAAGTTTTTTCTTGCAAAATTATAAAATTGGCAACAGAATAAGAATGCTTTGCTTGTCTCCAATATTAGTTGCAGAAACATGATCTTTACTACATCTGTAAACCATGGCCAATGCTACTATCCTTAGTCAGATTCTCTTGATGCTATTTTAACCCAGTCTAGAAATATTTCGAGTTTTAAGAAAGATTCTGGAATCCTTTGGATCACATTCCATAGGATGACATACCAATCCAATTTAGGGGAAGGTAGCCTAAGGCTGAATAGATCTGTAGAGTTACTACTCAATGGTCACTCTTTACAAACTACATTATCACTGGCAGCTTCCATTAGGCAACAAAAGAGGCCTGGGTAGTAACAGTAACTATGGAATTAGCACTACCACTTTATGAAATTAATTGACAGGGTAGAAATGCTTTCTTCAATGGCATTCAAGGTAGAAATAACCAATGCTTCTTTATGCTGTCTCCTTTCTCCTTCATGATGCTCTAAGGTCTATTAAGTTTATAGTAATGAGAATTTGTAATGACACATTTAAACAGAATCAGAGCACTACAGACAAGACTAGATAAATCCCAAAGGGCTCAACAGCTGTTTACCACTAAATCTGCCAGGAAAAAAGAAATTAAGAAGTGCTTAGGTATTTACAGAAAGCTAAAGAATTCCTGCATTATGTCTAAGTGTAAAAGTCTACCGTGCAACGACATTGCTTACACATAACTAAAGTATTGGGGCCATGTTCTAATTAGAGGCCCACTTAGAAACCCAATTATGTAAACTGGTGAAAAGCCAAACATAAATGCAGATCTGGTTCAGTGGGGGAAATGGTTCAAGACTCTTGCTCTTCCTCCTCCATGGGAGACTGGAGACTTTTTGGTTTAGAGTCGGACTCAAATACAATCAAAGAAGAAAATCACTTGATGTTTTGATGAAGGGCAAAACACAGCAACACTAGTTTAACTAGACAAATAAGCCTATGAATTACTGGGGATTTAAATAGAGTTCCATTAAAAAAAAGATAATGATTTCAATATAAAGGGGCCACTCTTAAAGTGCATAGCTTAAAATTTAAGAGTTTTCTCTAATTATTCTATGCTTTTTTGTTTTCCATGATTCAAATGCATACTAAATGCCTATTATGGGCAAAGCACTGCAAAGATACAGAAGAATACTGTTTCTGCCCTTAAAGAAGTATACATATATGAATCTTCTGACAATCTATTCTTTTGTGTGGGCAAAATAAACTCAGGGGTTATGTTAATACATAAGAGTTGCATCACTGATTCAACATATATAGGATCCAGAAATATACTAGATGTACAAATTAGAATTTTTAGGTACACCTCTTAAAAATGTTTTAACAAGTTTTATCTTTGAAATGAAAATTATTTTTCAAATAAATTACATATTAAATTAACTTTGTTTTTTGAGAATCAATATTACAAAACATCTTGAAAAAAGTTTTGACCCCCAAATCTTTTAACCTTTTGCTAAATCTGAAACAAAATCTCAAAGAATATCTTTAAGTTGATCAACTACCATCACAGATACTTGGCCAAACCTTTCAGCCTTTGAAAAATCTCAGAATCCCTATCACAGGAAATCCCAGGTGTTATACCAAAAAGAATTTGCACAAATGGGAACCTAACAAAGCTCCGGAGTATTAGGCAAATGTATCTAGGCAACCAAGAAAAGGGATAGGTTCCAACAAATTGTCAAAAGTTCTAGAAGGAAGAAAGGACTCTCAAGGGAAGGATCTCTTAGGACAAGGAATATAGAATATACACAGGGCTAAAGATGACAAGACTGAAGCTTTCTAAATGATGAGATATAATCAATTCAAACAATTGTGAGGAGACGGACAAACAAAAAGGTAGGTCTATAAATGCACATTTATTAGTTGTTTACCTTATCCTTCATTTTGTGATTGTGACTCAAAATGAAAAATTACACAATTAATAAAACATCCTAAAATGGTTACTTACGCCCAAAAGTCTTCAACAGTATCAAACTTAGAGATCAGCCGAAGGTTTGCTTGCCAAGTTTTGCTTTTATCATTTTTAAAAAACCAGAGTGCCCATCTAAAAGTAAAAAGTCAGTGTCAAACGTGGTAGTTTTTAATTTACATTCCTAGCAGCATTCTTCACAATAGCCAAAGGGAGGAAGCAGCCCATCTCATCAATGACAGATGAATAGATAAACAAAATGTGGTTTAAACATACAGTGGAATATGTGTCAGACTTAAAAAAGAAAGTCTGAGATTGAACCTTAAGGACATTAAGTGAAATAAGCCAATCAAAAAAGACAAACAGTATGAATCTACTTGTATGAGGTATCTAAAGTAATCAAATTCATAAAGACAGAAAGTAACATGGCAGGGACTAGAAGGAAAGGGAATGGACAACTGTTTAATGGGTACAGAGTTTCAGTTTTGCAAGATGAAAAGAGTTCTGGAGACTGGTTGCACAACAGTATGGATGTACTTAACACTACTGAACCGTACTTAAAAAATGGCTAAGATGGTGAATTTTATGTTATGGTGTATTTTACCACAATTAAAAATTTATTTTATTTTAAAAATAATTTTAAATGGTAGGTACTATTACAGTGGAAAATAATGAGTAGTTTTTGCTCTTTCATTTAGAAAGTATGTATTTTGTACCTATTTCCTAACAGATTCTCTGCTATACTTTAGAGACCCATTGAGGCTCATCCCCCAGAGTAATTCACAGAAATGTAACAGACAATTACAGGATGGTAACTGCTATGACAGAGATAATCAAGCAGTTACTTAAGAAAAACAGCAGAGGCACTTAACCAGAAAAGAAAGCAGGGAGCAAGAAAGCTGAATTTTCAGAGAAATGAAAAGGTATTAGCCAAGAATGGAAAATAAGAGACTCCTAAAAAAGGGGGGGCAACTATGAAATGCAATTCTCTGTTTACTCAAGCACACAAATGGGAAAATAACAAAATAAAGGGATTCACTGAGTAATGCTATCACAGATATGTTCTGAAAAAAAAAATAATGTATACTAGTTTCTATACATCTATATATAACTGTTAAAAAAAGTTTTATTCTAATACCTGGAAGATAAACTCAGGTCACATCAAAGTTACACTTAAATATCCCAAGATAACATCTTTAGTACAATTCTATTATCTGAATTACGATACCAAAGGTAACTCAAAAGGGAAATTTCATTTTCTCATTTAGAATAATATTGTCTGAAGACAGGTTTCCAAACACATATACACATTTCATAACTCCATGATTAATGCTTGGATAATCTGACATAAAAATAAGATGCATTTCAACATCCACTTGATAATGTGAATTTGCCAAGCCGCTATCAGGGACAAAAAAGAAAAAAGCAAAGGCATAGAAATTATCAAACACATTTAATAAGGTCAAGTACTATACTCTGGTCTTCCAAAATTAATGAAACCTTTCCTCAAAAAATTAAAAATAGAACTACCATATCATCCAGCAATTCCACTTCTGGGTATTTATCTGAAGAAAATGAAAACACTAACTCAAAAAGATATATGCACCACCCTCATGTTCATGCAGCATTATTTACAATAGCCAAGATGTGGAAACAACCTCAGTGCCCATCAATGAATGAATGGATAAAGAAAATGTATGTACACAATGGAATATTATTCACCCACAAAAAAAGAGGAAGAAATCTGTCGCTTGAGACATTGGATGGACCTTGAGGGCATATGCTAACTGACAAAGACACACAAATACCGTATGTTCTCATTTAAATGGGGAATCTTAAAACAAAAGGAAACTAAAAAACCAAGGTCATAAACACAGAAAACAGAGTGGTGGTTGCCAGAGGTAGGGGCTGGGTGAAAAGGGGTGAAGAGGGTCAAAAGGTACAGACTCCCAGTTATAAAATAAATAAGTCATTAACTATATACAACATGGTGACTACTGTTAATGACAATGTATTATGTATATGAAAGTTGCTAAGAGAGTAAATCTTAAAAGTTCTCATTACAAGGAAAAAAAACTTTATAACTATATATGGTGACAGATATTAAGTACACTTACTATAGTGATCATTTCACAATATACACAAATACTGAGTCATGTTTTATACCTGAAACTAATGTTATATGTCAATTATACCTCAATTAAAAATGGTAATAAAATTTTTTTTTTTTTTTACTGCATCCAGCCATTGAACATACAAAAATCTATCCTAAGAAAATAATTAGATGATTAGGCAAAAATTTGTACAAGAATGTTAATGTTGGAAAATTTGG